TGCTGGAGGTGCTGCTAGTGCTGGAGGTAATAGAGTTGCTGCTGGTGCTGGAGATGCTGGACCTGTTGGTGCGCTTTGCCACCTTCTAGGTCTTCCGCCAGCTCCTACTGAGTTCCCTGTCGCTGGTACCACTCCGCCTTTACTGTTCCCACCAGCAGACCTGTCTCAGCCACAACTACTCCCTCACTCCCATCTCCCTACTCCTGCTCCTTACATTGCTGTGACAAGGTCCCTGACTGAGCGTAGAGAGCCTGAGACTAGAGCTTCCGTTCCTACTCGTGTTCGTTGTGTGCGTCTTCCTCGTGCTCCGGCTGTCCCAGGCACTCACGATATGACACTCCGTCCTTCCTCTGTTCCACAGCGTGTTGTCCTACTGTCTCCTCCTGTGTCTTCTCTTCCTGACGTTGCTGACCCTTCGTCTGACCTTGCTCGTCCTTCCAGTCCGACTGTCAATCGCTTTGTTGCTACAGTTGTGACGGACCCTACGTTCTCGTCTCCTGCTGCGTCTGCCTTAGTCGCTGAGCTAGTTGACTTTGCTGCTGTTCGCCGCCTAGACTACCTCGCGAGTCTTGTTTCTAACCCTGACCCTGCGTGTCCTCCGTCCGTTGGGGGTGAGGTTGCCCTTGGCTGTGACGTTCTTGAGGATAGATAGGAGGAGCTGGAGTGCCTTACGGCCGCTGCACCTCATCTCGCTACCATGCTGCTAGCCCTTGAAGGAGACCCGGATGCACTTGACATCCCCACCCCGCGCTCTTACAGAGAAGCGATCTCGGGTGAGTACTCCTCTCAGTGGCACACAGCCATGGACGCAGAGATGGCTTCCTGGAATTCCACAGGCACCTACGTCGACGAGGTACCCCCACCTGGGGCGAACATCGTCAGTGGCATGTGGAATTTCAGGGTGAAGCGGCCGCCGGGTTCTCCGCCTGCCTTCAAGGCACGTTACGTTGCTCGAGACTTCAGATAGCGTGAGGGAGTCGACTTCTTTCAGACCTTCTCCCCCACCCCGAATATGACCACTCTTCGGGTGTTGCTACACGTTGCAGCTTAGCGTGACTACGAGCTGCACTCCGTCGACTTCTCGACAACTTTCTTGCAAGGTAGCCTTCACGAGGCCATCTGGCTGCGCCGTCCATCTGGCTTCACTGGGTCGTTTCCTGAGGGTACTCAGTGGAGCCTACGGCGGCCAGTGTACTGCCTGCGTAAGGCACCTCGCGAGTGGCACGCCACACTAAGAACGACAGTTGTAGCTCTTGGGTTTGCTCCTTCGACTACTGACCCATCGTTGTTTTTGCGCATCGACACTATCCTACCGCCGTTCTACGTTCTCGTGTACGTCGACGACTTGGTTTTTGCTACTTCTGACATGGAGGCGCTGGCCCTAGTGAAGGCGGAGCTGCAAAAGAGACACACCTGCACTGACCTGGGTGAGCTGCGAAACTATCTTGGCTTGCAGATCATCCGGGATAGAGCACGGTGCACCATCACTCTCACTCAGTCACACATGGTGCACCAGGTTCTTCAGCGCTTCTGCTTCCTGTTCTCCTCGCCACAGACCACTCCTCTGTCTACCGGCCACTCGCTCTCAGCTCCACCTTTGGACGAGTCCGTAGAACCGAGTGGTCTGTACCCATAGCTTGTGGGTTGCCTCACGAACCTGATGACGTACACACGACCTGACCTCGCATACCCTCTCAGCCTCCTGGCTCGCTACGTGGCTCCCGGTAGACACCAAAAGATGCACTGGGATGCTACGAAGAGGGTACTTCGTTACTTGTGCAGTACATCGGACATGGGGCTCGTGCTTGGAGGACAGGGTTCAGTGGTACTCACAGGACACTCCGACGCTTCTTAGACCGACGACCAGGCGACTCAGCGTTCGTCACAAGGTTATACCTTCAGTCTTAGCTCTAGTTATGTCTCGTGAAGGTCCACTCGTCCTTCTTCTGTGCTTGGTTCCGACTGTGAGGTCGAAAATCTACGCTGGGGCCATGGCTGCACAGGAGCTACGCTTGCTGACCTACCTGCTGACCGACTTGGTGGAGCGGCCTCGTTCTCCTCCGGTTCTGTACGTCGACAACAAAGCAATGCTTGCCTTGTGTCGCGAGCAGAGACTGGAGCACAGAACGAAGCACATTGCTCTTCGCTACTTCCTTGTGCGTGAGCTGCAGCAGCGTGGTCAGCTGTGCCTTGCTTACGTGGTCTCTCGGGCCAACACTGCTGATGTCTTCATCAAGGCCCTTGGGTCTGGTGATCATCAGCGTTTCTGCACTCCTCTTGGGCTTGTGCCCACTCTGCCTCACCTGCTGGTTGCTTGACATGCTCTTGTTGTACACTTATATATATCTTTATACCTTCATGGTTACTCTTGCTATGTTATAATCAGTATACTGCCTAATTCTTGTAATTGTGCATATAAACTGGCCTTGTGGCCGTTTGCTTGGGCTCAGACTGTGTGGTGTCCTTGAGATCCACCTTGAGCTTTGCTTTGCTTGTTCTCTTGCTTGACGGTCTTGTGACCATCTGGTTGTCCCCCACTTAACCTATGGTTGACAATTCTACTTGCTATACTATAGTGGGTTACTCTGTACGGGGTACAACCCCAATTAGGGTTAGCTTATACATACTTGTACTGCCCTCTCTCTAGTCATTCCTGCACACTTGATTCTGACAACCTGATGGTATTTTCACATGGTGGTGCCAACCTGGAAACAACATATTAGAGTATGTGCTTGTACGTTCTCCTTTAACAACGTTCTCGTAGAACATTCTTGTGCATGTCATTATGCTCCTATATAAGGTGCATGTTGTTTCTGTTGTAACATATCACTTAATCAATCTATAAGATAATCAATTTCGTTCCTCCCGTTACTGGATACCAAGTTTGGCATCAGTATTTGGTTTCTACCAAGCCATTATTCGGTTTACAAGTATCCGCTTTGCAACTCTGCGCCTAGGCTCTCCCTCGATCGCCTATTCTCCGCATCAAATCCTTAGGTTTTGAAATCGAGAGAGAACCGCTTCTCCGCAGGGGAAGGACGAGGGGGTGCACTTGAAATTTGGTAACCTTTTTCTTCAAGTTCCTAATAATTTTGAAACCCACCTTTCAAATGTATACTGCTGCGAGGAGTCAAACTGATTGGTTATGTTCCATTTATTGTTGCAATAGCTCCACACCACACACACGGAGCTGATTGGGTAAAAACACAAATTGTGTAACCATCCAGCGTTATCGTTAACCAATCCGTCTGATCGGTTTAACATCCAGTTATTTCGCTAGCCAATCCAGCTGCGCATACAGCTAGCTCCCTCCGCCATAGTCGCAGAACCAGCATACATGCTTGATTCTTGATGATGCAGATCCGCCATAAGGGACATTCTCTGACTTTTGACTTATGTCCCTAGTTTGTCCTCTTTATTACTACGCGATTCTACCGCCCGTGCCTAGATCCGTTGCAAAACTTGGACTCTTGGTCGCTTGCCTCAATAGAAAGCACAGTGCTGGTCAGCGGGATGGAGGGACACGCGGGTGTGCTGGTGCTGCCGCTGTTGAGTTGCTCAACGGGGACCTGAATCTCACGGTGGCATGCACTGATTTGTCCAATGTTCAATAATAAATTATTCGTTTTCTTGATTCGCTGTAGGTTTTGTACTGGCCTTCGATTGAGCTGCCATCAACTGACGGAACGGGAGTCAACCGAAGCTGTGTGTTTGGCATGGCTGCGGCACCGAACCGGGCATCACGCCCATCAACGCCAGCCCCTCGATATTTCCGAACCCCAGTTCCTCCCGTTGGCTTTCCCTCCTCTTTCTTCCCCACTTATCGCTCCTGACCTTGAGATATTCGGCGTTGACACGGAATTTGTGAGATCCGGTACTGTATTACTGTACTGTAGTTGAATTTGGTCGAGCAGCTGCCGCGTGCTCGTGTTACGTACACGGTCTTGTCGACAAGTTGCCTCATCAGGCTGATGATGAACCACTAGCCAGCGGCTGGCGTAAGAACGATCATCATCATGATGACGTGCCACGCCACTACTTTGTCTAGGCCTGTAGGCATGACGGGCATAATAATATGATATTATTTTGCAACACCGAGATCATGTCCGAGCATCGCGAGTAGCATTGCCAGTCGACCTCTGTACTGAACGTCGCGGGTAGCTTTCTCACAAGGGCTGACTGTCTAGCTGACTTCGGAGCTTATGAGTTTCTTGACGCGAGCAAACACGATATTCTCAGGACTCCCGAGCCTTTCTGTCTGACCACGGATTACTATGAATACAGCCGCTCCCTTCTGGTTGATGTAGAACGCGGTTTCTGTCTAATCACTGCTCAATTCGTCAAGGTCGGCGCTCCGCGTGTGAGAATACGTGACGGGGCAGCACTCATCTTGCTGCTCGTCAAACTCTTCCAGATTCAGCTTCTGCGAGAGGCTAGGAGGATGTGTAATACCACGCGGTTTCTGTTTGATTGGCTGTCTAGCCCCGCGGTCTGAGTTCCTGACGAGGCAGCAGTGCTAACTCTGCTTGCTGCGGTTCAAACTTTTCAACCACCGGCTCTGCAAGAAGCCAGGAGTAGAACCACGCGGTTTCTGCTCGATCAGGCGCCGCGTTTCAGCTACTTCTCTACATAATACAGAACTAGTACTGCTACCACCGCCTCTCCCCCCACCAGAGGAGGTCACGCGGCTAGCCATTCCTCTTCCACAAAGCCGCAGCGCCGCTTGCAAACCAGGGATAACAGGAGTACAATACTAGAAGTATTGCTACTAATAAGATAGCGTCCTCGTGTGGCCTCTGAGCGCCAAGCAGCCTGTGAAACCCAAAGAGTCTCCAAATGTACCTGGGAACACTCTGATCCGACTTTTGAGGCGCCTCAAAAACAGCCTGTGAAACCCAGAGATCGAAACATACCTGCGAGGACTCTGACACTGTTACACTCCAATCCGGTCCGAGTTCTCTTTCTCGTCTGCTAAAGTAAACTGTTCACTACGGCGTTTTATGGCTGTGGATTACCCGACGGGTGCGATCATCATGTCTCCCAGCAGCAGCAGCAAGCACACTGGGGCCACTGGAGCGATCATCATGACTCCCACCCTTGCTGCGAGCACCACGAGCAACAATACCGCCAGCAGCACTGGCGCCAGCAGCACGATAAGCGCGCCAAGGCAGCCGCATGGGTCCGCGCAACTGCTCTCATCTGCCGCGATTCCCGCGGTGATCTGCAGCCGTCACACAGCAGCGGCGGGAGCGAATCCGGTGGGGAATGAACCACTGGCGCTGCGTCAAGAGAGGTCCCCTCAGCAGCTCCCATCTGCCGCGATTCCTGCGGCTACCTGTGCCCAAATTTCGACCAGTGGTCGTCACGCGGCGGGGGGGGGCAACCCCGTAGCCAGTGGCGCCCCCGCACGGGCGCTGTTCCCGCATTGGGTGGCGGTGGACGCGGAGCAGCTGAGGCGCGTGCCACAGGACGTGATGCCGGAAGACTCGCACTGCTGGCTGAAATACGGCGAGAAGCGGCTCGTCAAGTCAGCTTGCCACAGGTAAGGATGAGCTTGATATTGAGCTTGGGGCATTGTTGGGTGCGCGTGAGTGTGATTAGGAGCTGGAGGCATTGGGTGTGGTGCTTGGGGGGGCGGCGGTGGACGCGGAGCAGCTGAGGCGTGTGCCGCAGGACGTGATGCCGGAGGACGCGCATTGCTGGCTGAAATACGGCGAGAAACGCCTCGTCAAGTCCGCCTGCCACTGGTGAGCTTCTGTGTGATTCGGAGATGGGGGAATTGTTAGGTGTGGTGCTTGCAACGGCTGTGGATGATGCTATCACCCCCTTTGGTTTCCATTCCCACGTCATCTCATCTCCTTTCACCCTCCTGCCCCCGTCTTCCTCCTGCCCTTGCTCCCCCTCTATCCCAGGTCGTACTTCCGCTGTGCGTGCTCCACGTGCCTCCCTCTGCCTGACAGCGCTGACACTCGCCAGGACGAAGCAGGAGCAGGGGCGTCTTTACCTGCAACACCAGCAGCAGCAGCAACACCTGTAACGGCAGCAACGCCACCCGCAACACCAACATCACTATCCAAGCAAGACGCAGCGCCAGCAACCCCAGCAACTCGTTCAGACTCAACTGACCTGCCTGCTGCTGCTCCAGCTGCTGCTGCTGCGGCTGCTGCTGATGCCAATGTCCCTGCTGCTGCTACCGGTGCAGCTTCTGATGCTACTAATACTACTCCTCATCCCAAGGCTGATCCTGACGCCAATACTGATTCTGCTGCTGATGTTGCTGATGCTGCTGAAGCTAGCACTGCCACCCCAACCGCCGCCCCCCCTCCCACAGTCTTCCACCCCTGCCCGGCTCGCAAGCGAGTTGACTGGCAGCTACTACCCCTCACTCCTGCCACCCATCCGTCGCAGCTGCCGCCCGGTTTTGACGCAGCCGCACACCACCGGGCGGCAGGCAAGCCACCCGCATCGATCATTTTCTTCCGGGTGACTTACCTGAACACGCACAACCACAGTGAGCCGCCCATTGGCCTCCGGTTAGTGCCCTCTGCAGCAACGGACGGTGCTTGTCAGGCTGGTGGTGTTACCTTAAACCATTTACCAGGTGCAGCTGCTGCCGCAGCTGGAGTCTGGGCGGAGAATGCAACGAAAACAGAAATGGTGGGTGAACAGCAGCCGCCGCCACCGCCGCCGCCGCAGCAGCAGCATTTGTTGCAGCAGCATTTGCAACACTTGGTACAGAAGCGGCAGATGCAGCAGTGGATGCAGCAGCGGATGCAGCAGCAGCAGCAGCAGCAGCAGCAGCAGCAGCAGCAGCAGCAGCAGCAGCAGCAGCAACAACAACAACTGCAGGGGCAAGGGCAGCAGCTGTGGCAGAAGCAAGGGCAAGGGCAGAAGCAGTGCCAGCAGCAGGGGAACATGAGTTCTCCTGCCCCTTTACGATTCACGACAGCAGTGCACACATCACCGCACACACAGCACGCAGCACAGCACGCATCACCGCACTCTCCAGCACATCCCTGGCAGCAGCAGATGCAGCCCCCGCAACAGCATCAACAGCACCCACAGCAACAGCATTTGTTGCAACAGCAACAGCATCAACAGCAGCAGCAGCAGCAGCAGCAGCAAGAGGAGTGCAAAGCGGTGCTGCAGTCCAATTCCGCCCCGTGCTACCTAACCCAGCAGCGATCTCCCACACCCACCTCTCTGGGCAAGCGATCGCGCGAAACTGACCCCTCCTTGATGTCAGAACCCTGCTTGCCCTTGCACGCCCCCCACGCACGCTATGCCTCCGAGGGATGTAATCTCCCAACCTTAAACTCGAATCAAGGATTCCAAGCCCCCCACCGGCTGCAGCCCTCCCCTGAACCGCTATCCATTCAGGTGGGCTTTCGTGTGACGCGCGCCTCTCCTGCCCCCCACGCCTCTCCCTCCTCTCACTTGTCTGCCGCCGCATCTCATGTGTCCTCTGCCTCCCCCGCCGCCTCTCACCCGTCTCACTCATCTCCTGCCGCTGCTGCCGCGACTCAATCCTCTGCTGCTGCGAGTCTCTCCTTCACGCCGCCCAGGCCGATCAAAGTGAGCTTCTCTTCTCCGGCCGACCTTGAATCCCCGTGGGGCAACAGCGGCGACCAGGGGGGGTGGAAGGATGCTGGGAGGTGCACTGTGGTGCAGCCGTTGCCGCAGCAGCAGCAGCAGAACTTGCCGCAGCAGCACCAGCAGGGGCAGCAGCCGCAGCACCAGCAACCGCAACAGCAGCAATGTCAACTGCAGCAGCAGCAACAGCAGCGTTGGCAATCGCAGCAGCAACTGCAGCCACAGCAGCAACAACAGCAGCAATGGCAATTGCAGCAGCAACAGCAACAGCAGCAGCAGCAGCAACAACAGCAGCAATGGCAGTTGCAGCAGGAGCAACAGCAGCAGCAGTGGCAACCGAAGCGGCAGCAGCAGCCTCTGAACCTGCTCTCGTCGCTCACCCGTCTTGCTGTTTCCGCTGCTGCCAACACTGCCGCTTGCGACGCTGCCCCTTCTTTTGGTGCCGCCCCTGCTTTTGCCGCTGCCGCTGCCGGTTCTGCTCCCATGGACCCCCAATTCCCATCCGCAGCTGCTCTTTCAGCCCCCCCCCCTCCAAACGCCCCGTTACATGCCCCCCCATCCATTGCCCCGTTAAACGCCCCTCTTTACGCCCCGGTAAGTGCCCCTGCGGACTCGCAATCTCTGCTGCTCTCTGTGCTGCGCGCCAATCTCTCCCGCACCGACCTCCTGTCAAGCTCAAGCCCCCACAGTGACGGCAACAGCGCCGGCGAGAGGATTGACAGCTGGCGTGCCGTGGCGGACGGCGGTGAGAACTGTGAGCGGCCCATGAGCAGAAGCGGCAGCGCCACTGATGCGGGCGCAGCACTATTGCCTTCCCCCGTGGCGGTTGGCGGGGGCATTGGCGGTTACGGGCGGTCTATGAGCAGGAGCAGCGCCACTGATGCGGGTGGGGCTCTTGTGCCTTCCCCCGTGACTGCGGCTGGTGACCGGTTTGATGACTCAGCGCCACGCCAGCTGCAAGGGCTGCTGGAGGATATGGTGCCACGTCAGCTTCTGCAGGGCTCGCAGCGAGTCACAGGTGCAGCACAGTATCGGGCACCGTCTGATGCTGCCGCAGCAGCGTTTCAACCCCCAGCCACATCAGTAGCACCACATAGGTCAGTAGCAGCAGCTGTTTCATTTCAGAACGCTGAAAGCATTTCTGTGGAAGCGGAACGATCAGCACAACGGCAACTGTGGGCCCCACTCCAAGCTCAAGTCCAAGCCCCCCCTGTAGCACCAACTGTGACACCTGATTTTTCACAAAACCAGGCGCTTCCTTTCCTGTCGCCTCCGCTGCTTCCTATTGCTGGCCACACCCCGTACCAGGCAGCAGCAGCAACAGCGGCGACAGTAGCGACAGGAACAACACCAGCACCGCATTGCATGTCACCTCATGCCCTGCCGCAGCCACGCGCTTCCGAACTGCCGCCCGCTGCAGTGCCGCCGCCTGCCACTGCGTCGCCACCCGCTGCAGTGTTACCGGCCGCTCTTGTGCTGCCTACCCTGGAAACCCCGTGCTGCCAGTGTGAGTGCCGGAAATCCCAAGGGGCGGGGCAGCAGCAGCAACAGGAGCAGCAGCAAGTGCAGCAGCAGCCGTCAATGGTGCTTCAGTTGAGGCCCGAAGCTCCGGTTCAAGGGTGTGTTCAGTCTGCAGTGCAATCCAAGCCAGAGGCTGTTGTGATGGAAATGTCAGCACGGATTCAGGCTTCTCAATTAGCGAGGCAACCGCAGCTAGCATCGCCTACTTTCACCACTCATCCTCACACTTCCCCCACTAGCGTGCGTCGTCCCGTCGCCTCTCTCCCTCCCAACGCCTCTCTCCCGCCCGTCGCCTCTCTCCCTCCCGCCCCGAACCACTTCACAAACCTTATTTCGAGCCATGAGCAACCTGCAGGGAGTGCTGCTGCGCACCTGCAACAGTTCCACCTCCCCCAGGTGCCACCTGCTCACGCAGCTCAGGCAGCTCTGGCTGCTAGTTTCCATGCCAGCACGAGTCACACCCGCGATTTCATGGGTACGGCCTGCAATTCTGTGCGTGCCTCTGGTGTCGCTCTGAGCCCTGCTGTTCCAACCACTGCTGCCGCTGCCGCCGCTGCTGCTGCCACTGCTGGTGCTGGTACTGCTGGTACACAGACCCCCGTGGTGCGATGCACTCGCACTCTCAGCGTGGGGCTTGATGGCTTGGCCGGCATGGGCGGCATGGGCGGCATGGGTGGTGTGGGCGGCGTGGGCACGGGCGGCATGGGGGAGGATGAGTTGCTGGTGGAGGCGGCAGCATGGCTGGCAGAGCAGAGAGGGCTGGAGGCACTTGATTGGCTGCCGGACCTGACAGGGTGATTCCTAAGATTATTACGTGGCATTGGGGGCGAATCTCAACGCCGCAATGGGGAGAGGGCTGGTGTAGGAAGAAGGATAAATGGCGCATATATTTTCTGGTTGCCAGAATTGGGAAGCGTGTGTGCGTGTGTGCTTATGAAGGGGATAGGGTGCTGAGTGCGTGATGTAGCATGTCTTTTTAGAATGTATTGTTGGAAATAAAACAAGCTTGTTCTTCTTGTGTAATTGTATTCTTCCGAGTACATGATTCGAGAACAGCTGAACCTAATACTGAGTACTAAATCGGACCGGCTTCATAACGCGTAATTGATAAGCGGGGAAAATAATAACAGCGTGGAACTGATCAGTCCCAGACCACTAGGGCGGCCATGGATGCGGCTCGTGCGCCGACATGCGCGGCTTCTCGCACGCAGCTGGTTTCTCGTCAGAATTCATCGCGACGGGAACGATTTGTCCCTCCCAATGGTGCTAAAATCTTATCGTCGCAGTCGATTCTACCGTCGCCGTCGCTAGTCAGCTCGCCGTTTCTCTCGCAGCGTTCCGCGTTTGGACCTGCTGGCATTGCTTGTAATAAAGGACGACCGTCTAGCGGAGACGTTTTCCGTCAATTTGACAGACGAGGACGTACGCCAGCGAGCTCCTCAGCAAATCAACTGTCGGTCTCCGTTCTCTCTCTTTTAATTCCGCCGTGGAATGCTCCGTTTGTAGCTGGCGTTGCGGGAAGACGATCGCGTCTCGTTACTGGCAGCCTCGTTATTGGAACAAGCGCGAAAAATCTTGTAGTAACGAGGCCTTTTGCGACCGCGAGACCTCTGCTTTTAGCGAGGCCGTTTAGAGCGAGACGGTCTGTCGTATCGAGGCGTAACGGTCGAATTGACGCGACTCGCAGCGCGGAAGGGGGGAGCGGGGACCGCGATGGGCCGGTGGATGAGAGGGCTGGCGCTACAGCCGCGGACGATGCTTCCGACAAACGGCCGCGCGTCAATGGCGAGAACGACTCTAACGGGGCTGCTAGTAGCGAGGATGATTCAATCGGGGACGCGGCGCGGTGGATCTGGGACGTGAGCGGGCGCGATCTGGTGCAGGTGGCGCTGGAGGCGAGCCGCGCGACGGACGGCCCGCGATTCCTGGCGCCGTGCGGCGTGCGACGCGAGCTGCCGCTGCTCGTGTACCTGCCCGGACTAGACGGCACGGTGAGAGGTGGTAGGGGCTAGTGGTGGAAGCGGCGCGGGTTTCGGGTTTAGGGTGTAGGTTTTCGCCTGCGGTGACTTTTGAGGCGCCTCAAAGAGTTGGCCAGAGGTGCCGGCTCTTCTGCCCGGGTACCTGCTCGGGCTGGACAAGACAGTGAGAGGAGTAACGGAGATGGTAGGAAGGAAGGAACGAAATGAACAGGGAACGCATGTACTTGTCCTTCTTTCTGTCCCTCTTCTTCCCTATGCTATGCATCGACCATCGCCCACCCACCCTACTACTCCCCCCACCCCCCAGGGCGTTCCCTTGCCCCTCTTTCTGTCCCTTCACTTCCCTTCCGTTCCTTACCCTGCAATGCGCACCCTTCCACACCCACCACCCTTCCACTCCCACCACCCTCCAGGGCGTATTCCTAGAGCGCCACCTGGAGGGCTTAAAGCCTTGCTACGACGTGCGGTGCCTCTGCATCCCGGCTGCTGATACTTCTTCCTACGCCCAGCTCTCCCAGCTGTGAGTGTTGTGATTGGTTGTTATGCCTGTAACAGTCAGTCATGCAGATGGCTGTAGCACCACTGAGTGATACGGCTGTAGCGGCATTGAGTGAGGACACGGTTGTAGCGGCACTTTATAATACTACAGCTGCCTCTGCATCTCCGCCCTCACGAGCATGATCCGCGCATGAAGCAGTGATTCCATTCCATCCACGCGTGACGAAAGACAGGACATTGCCATTGTAACGAGGTGACCTTGAGTCGACTCAAAAGGCACTGCATTGCATTTCCCCCCTCAGGAGCACGATCAGCCTGTGAATCAGTGATCCCACGCGTGCAAACACACACAATACCTTGCCTCCAATCCCCTCCACCTCCCGCCTTTCCCACCTTTTCCCTCGCCTCCTCTCCCCCCCACCCTCCCGCTCCCCTCCCTCTCCCCTCCCGCTCCCCTTCCCCTCTCCCTCCCTCTCCCATCCCCCTCCCCCTCCCCGTCCCTCTGCCCCTCCCTCTGCCCCTCCCTCTCCCCTCCCTCTCGGCCACCCCATCCTCCCCCTCGACGCACTCGCCGCCAGTGTGGCGGATCTTATTCAGCAAGAGCAGGACCTGCGGAGGGAGACCGCGCTGCTGCTGCTGCAAGCGTCCTTGGGTGCAAGAGCCATGGGATACGCCTCTGATGAGGACGGAATGCCTGCAGGGACAGGCACAACCGCAGCACCCGCAGCAGAAGAAGCCGCAGCACCTGCAGTACCTGCAACACCTGCACTGGAAGATGCAGCAGCAGCGGCGCCTGCGGCAGTGACAGTGGTGGCAGAGTCGTTTGGAGCGGGGGTGGCGCTCTCCCTCGCTGCTAAGCACTCGCATCTGGTTGCCCACCTCGTCATCTGCAACAGGTGGGTGTGGGTGCGTGTGGGTGTATGTTTGTGCAAGTGTGTGCATGCTGCATGCATGTGCCTGCAGCAGTGCCAGTGGTGGCGGAGTCACTCGGAGCGGGGGTGGCACTCTCCCTCGCTGCCTGCCACTGCCACCCATGCGAACCTGGTTACCCACCTCGCCATTTGCAACAGGTGCGTGCGAGGGAATGGGGGCGTGGGTGTGTGGGTGTGGGTTTGTGGTGGCAGCAGTGGCGGGGGTGGCACTCTCCCTCGCTGCTACCCATGCCCACCTCGTCATATGCAACAGGTGCGCATGCATATGTGTGTGGATGGGTGTGTGTGTGTGTGTGTGCCGGGCCCTTCGATTCTACCATTTAATGATTGATTCCCTACTCCTTTTCCCATCCCATTCCGTCCCATCCCATTCCATCCCATCCCATCCCATCCCATCCCATCCCATCCCATCCCATCCCATCCCATCCCATCCCATCCCATCCCATCCCATCCCATCCCATCCCATCCCATCCCATCCCATCCCTCCAACCAATGCAGTGCGAGTGGCTTTCGCCGGCAGCCAGCCCTTCAGCTCGGAGCGCTGCTGGTGAGCCCGATACTTCCCTCTTCTCTTCTAACCACGCCTCTCTAACCACACCAACGAAGCACACCTCGGGGGCGAATTTGCAAATACACCATCGCTGCCCCAACAGCCTTGCTCTCTTAGATGCTCCTTAAAAGCACTCTCGCTTCGAAGTCCTCCTCCCGCCTCTCCCCTGCCACCCAATGGTCTTTTGACATGAGACCCAGACAGCAGCAGGTCTTTAGTTCTTTCTTCCCTAAACCCCCTTCTCCCTGGCTTGATTCCCATCTTCGTGCTCTTTCCTCCTCTCCTCTTTCGTCCTCTTCCACCTCTCAGTCATTCATTCCCATGGCCATCCAATGCCCATTTCTTTCCCTCTCCCCATGCCAGGCACCCTTTGCACCGGACATTCCTGTCTTGGCGCAGCTCTCCTCCTTGGCCCTCGCGCCTCTCCTCTCTGACTTCTTCCCACTTTCTTTCCCTCTCCTCCCTATCCCCCACCCACCATCCCCATCCCTCTACCCATGCCAGGCACCCTTTGCACCTCTCTCACCTCTCCTCTCTAACTCCCATCCACCATCTCCCCGCCCTGCTTCCATCCCCATCCCTCTCCCTACCCCAGGCACCCTTTGCGCCAGACATTCCTGTCTTGGCGCAGCTGTCCTCCTTGGCGCTCGCGCCTCTGCTCTCTGATTGGGACAGCCTGGGGGAGAGAGAAAGGACCCTCATCACCCCGCCCTTCAGGTGCTTTGTTTGTTCGCCAGGTGCTTTCTGCGTCTGTCAGGTTCTTTCTGCACCCTTCAGGTTCTTTCTGCACCCTTAAGGTTCTTTCTGCACCCTTCAGGTTCTTTCTGCACCCTTAAGGTTCTTTCTGCGCCCTTCAGGTTCTTTCTGTGCCTTTTTGTACCCCTTCACCCTGTCACCTTTTCGCCCTTCACACCTTGACCCCGTTCCCCTTTTCACCCGGTCCCCTCTTCTCCTCCTTCCCTGCACCCCCTCCTTCTTCCACCCCCTCTCCCCACCAGCACGAGCGTGCTTCCACCAGCAACGGTGGCACGCCGTGTTGCCATGATGTCTGCGCTACAGCCGTCTGACGCCATGCTACAGTCCATCACAGCCAGCACCCTGCTCATTGTCAGGTGAGCACTTAAAGCGAGGGTGCACGGGACATTCCTCCTGGTTGGGCAAAGGTTTTTTCTCTTGCCATGCTACAGTCCGTCACAGACAGCACTCTGCTCATTGCCAGGTGATCGCTTAGGCTGTGCTACAGCTGTCCGGTGCCATGCTACAGCCAATCTATGGCATGAGGCATGAGGCATGGGCATGGGTGAGGTCAGGGGCATGTAACATGAGCATGAGACGTGGGGCATGTGGCATGCAGCATGTGGTGTGGGGAATGGGGCATGGGGAATGGGGCATGGGGCATGGGGCATGGGGAATGGGGCATGGGGAATGGGGCATGGGGAATGGGGCATGTGGTATGGGGAATGGGGAATGGGGCATGGGGCATGAGGTGGGGCATGTGGTATGAGGAACGGGGTTTGGGCCATGTGGTATGAGGAACGGGGTTTGGGCCATGTGGTATGAGGAACGGGGCATGGGGCATAGGGCATGAGATGGGGCACCACAATGAGCAGAAACACAATGATGAACTGATCGATGGCTTGACGCGTAAACGTGTCCCTGAAAGCCTAATGTGTTATTGACTGTGAAACCCAATCGTGAGACCTTGTGAGGGCCCATGTTCACCCTCCCTTTGCTTGCTTGCATGCAGTGGGGTGGGGAGGACCCGCTCATACCATCAGTAGAGGAGGCTTACAGGGTGGGTGGCAACGTGAACTCGACCTCCCTCACTTGACCCATCTTGACCCATCTCCACCCATTGCATGCATGCATGTGTGCAGTGGGGATGACTGGCTGACACCATCAGTGGAGGAGGCATACTTTCTGGCGACATGGTATATGGTGTAACCATCTTGACCCATCTCCACCCATCTCCACCCATCCATTGCGTGCATGCAGTGGGGAGGACCGGTTGATACCATCAGTGGAGGAAGCATATGGACTCGCGACGTGCATCCCATCGTGCCGCATCAAGATTCTGCCTTTCTCCGGCCACACTGCCCTGCTAGAGGTGAGTCTTTAGCCGTCTTAAAGCCCATCTCCAGCCACACTGGGTTTGCTAGAGATGAGCCATCTTTTCTGGGTTGCTGGAGAAGAGGTTGGATAAGTGCCATCACACAACAGAGTAAACAAGGAAGAAGGCGAGCCGCAGCAAGCTGTGTGGTGGTCTCTGTAAGCCTTTCAGCTAAGTGTAGTGGGTGGGTTGCTCTGTAAGGCTAGGTAAAAGGCATAAACCAGGCTTCTTGGTTGCTGGAGAAGGGGTTGGATAAGCCACACCGCTGAAAGCTGTACATTCTTACCCAACCCCTTCTGTCATCCCTCCCACTGTCAATCAACCCACCCCTGTCCGTCAGGCGGGTGTTTCTCTGCGGGAGATTCTGCAAGGAAGGTGGGGTGTCTCCTGCCGTCTGCTGCCTTCTCTCTGCTTCCTGAGCGCATTATAAGTACAAACCAAGTGCTCGGGCCACCGTTTCCCTTCACCCCCCTGCCCCACTCCGTCTTCTCCCTCTCCCCTTCTATCAGGCGGGCGTTTCTCTGCGGGACATTCTGGAGGAGTGCAGAGTGTTGCTGCCCTCTGCTGCCTTTCCTCTGGACCCTGTCCCTCCCTCTGATGACGACGAGCCTGCTTATAGCGAGGATAAGAGCCCTGCCAATAGCAGTGCTTCGTCTGCTGCCGAACCTGCAATGAACGGTGCAAGCCGAATTGGTATCAGCAGCGCGGGTGGCATCACGGCACCAAGTGCAGCAGTCAGAAGTTCAGGTGAAAGTTCAGGAGTGGAGGGTGCTGCAGGGTACAGCAGCGGTGAGGAGGGCGAGTTCAGCATGGAGGGGAAGGACTGGAATGATGCTGACGTGGCTGCTGTGCTTGGATTGGCCGGTTCTGCTGCCACGGATGCCGGACCAATCACAGGCCCTGATGCTGATGCTGCTGCGTTTGCCTCCAATGATGTGTCTACAATGCCAAGAAATGTGGGAATTCTCGCAGAGCCTGAACTTGAGAGTGTTGCTGCTGCTGCCCCTGCTGCTGCTGAGAGGCCAAGAGGAAGCGATTTTTAACTCTGCTTCTGCTGTGCTGGCAACAGCAACCGCTGTGGCAGCAGAAACAGCAGCAGCAGTGGCAACGACTACAGCAGCAGCCGCTGTGGCAGCGGCAAGAGTGGTGGCAGCCGAAGCATCAGGGGTGCCAGCAGCAGCAGTGGCAGCGGAAACAGTAGCAGCAGTGGCAACAACAACAGCAGAAGCAGCATTTGCAGTGGCAAGAGTGGTGGCAGCAGAAACAGGAGGGGTGCCAGCAGCAGCAGTGGCAGGAGCAACAGTAGGAGCAGAAACTGAAGCGGTGGCAAGAGCAGAGATAGGAGATGCTGGGATAGAAGCTGAAGGGGGGGAGAATGGAGGAGATGTGTGGGTGGAAGTTTCTCGGAAGCGGGAGGAGGCGCAGGGAGAGGTGGTGCTTCGGGAATGGTCTCAGGTTCGGGCGGCCCAGGCTCGGAAGGACGAGGGTTCGGCGGAGGTTTGGAAGGGGATGGAGAAGGGGAGAGTGGAAACTAGAGGGGTTGTGGGAGGGGGAGGGGGAAAAGGAGGGATAGTGAGGAGTTTACGGGAGTGGAGCAAGGGGAGGAGGGAAGAGGGCAGAGGAGAGGAGGAGGGAGTGCGGAAGAGCTTGTGGGTAGAGAATGATGTGGTGCGGAAGGAGGATCAGGGTAGAGGTGACAGGCAGGGAGGAGGGAAGGAAAGACAACGGGAGGGACTGCAAGGGAATCAAGGGGAGCAAGTCAAGAAGGCCAAGCGTGGTTTGAGGCTGGATGGGTACTATGAGATGATGAAGGGTAAAGGGGATGCCGCATGGGCTGATCGCATGTTCCCTCAAGCTGCCTCTGCTTCTGAAGCTGCCTCCGCCTCTCAAGCTGCACCTGATTCTCTCTCCTCTCAGTCCGCTTTGGGTTCCCCACCCCAGTCCAATGCTACAGCATCTGCTGCCTCCCGTTCTGTGCGTGCTAATAACGGGCATGCAGAGAGGGGTGCAGAGGGCAGTGGTGGTGGTGGTGCCGGTTCTGCTGCTGCAGCTGCGCGTTCTGGTGCTCCTGATGCAGCTAATGGAGCTGCACTCCCCAGTTCTACTAGTGCCACAAATGGTAGTTCCAGTATCGGAGCTGTTAATAAGGGGACAGGAGCTGGTGCGAAACCTGGTAATAATGCCGCTGGCTCTGTCACTGCCACTGCTGCTGCTTCATCCACAGAGAAAGCAATGCAACGGAGCGGCGTGGGGAGTGTGGTGGGGGAAGCAAGGGCTAGGAGGAAAGAGGAGCAGCAGCAGGGAGGCAAGGAAGGAAAAGTGGAAGCGAAAGGGGAAGGGGAAAGGGAAGGGGGAGTGGAAGGTGGGAGGTACATGGGGTCGGTGGAAGGGCGGGCGACGGCAGGGGAGGTGGGGCAGGCACTGGAGGGTATGCTGGATGACATGCCGCAGTACCGCCTCTGGAACTGGGTCGCACGGCCTCTCTATGTTGGTATGTGTGTATGTTTGCATGGAATAATGTGCTGTGTCTGTCTGTGCTTGGCTAGTCTGTGGGTGTGTGGGAGGTGGGACGAGCACTGGAGGGTATGCTGGATGACATGCCTCAGTACCGCCTCTGGAACTGGGTGGCCGGGCCTCTCTATGTTGGTACGTGTGGGTGTGTGTGTGTGATATGGTCATGGTGTGCTGCATGCCGTGTGGTGCGTGCCGTGTGGTGTGTGCCGTGTGGTGTGTGCCGTGTGGTGTGTGCCGTGTGGTGTGTGCCGTGTGGTGTGTGCCGTGTGGTGTGTGCCGTGTGGTGTGTGCCGTGTGGTGCGTGCCGTGTGGTGTGTGCCGTGTGGTGTGTGCCGTGTGGTGTGTGCCGTGTGCTGCGTGCCGTGTGCTGCGTGCCGTGTGCTGCGTGCCGTGTGGTGCGTGCCGTGTGGTGTGTGCCGTGTGGTGTGTGCCGTGTGTGTGTCGTGTGTGTGCTGTACTGTGCGAAATAAAGCAATGTGTGTAGCCGGTCCATTGGTCGGCATGCTGGATGACATGCCTCAATACCGCCTCGCCTCTGGAACTGGGTTGCACGGCCCCTTTATGTTGACATGTGCATGTGTGTGGGTGAGAAATACCGGCATAGTGTGCCATGCAGTGCTGTGCCGTGCTGTGCCATGCCATGCCATGGCATGCCATGCAACGCAACGTCTCAATTCATCTCTTTTCCCCAAACCCCCACCCTCCACACCACAGCATGGCAGGGTTGGAAAAGATTCCTTGCAACCAGGGCAGCCTGCTGGCTACCATGCCATGCTATGCCATGTTTGTTTTGAGAAGTCTCGAAACACTTTTATTATCAGACGTCTCAAGACACTTTGTTTGAGACATCTCAAAACACTTTTATTATCAGACGTCTCAAAACACTTTGTTTTGAGACGTCTCAAAACACCAGGGCAGCCTGCTGGTTACCATGCCATGTTTGACTCATTTCATCCCCACCCCGCCCCCCCATCCCCCCACCCGCCACCCTCACGGCACATGGCAGGGTTGGAAAAGATTTCGCGCAACGAGGGGAAGCTGCTGTTCGTCATGCCATGCCATGCCATGCCATGCCATGTCCCATGTCATCCCCCATCCCCTTCCGCCAACCCTCCACGCCCCGCGGCGCATGGCAGGGTTGGAGAAGATTCCGCGCAACGAGGGGAAGCTGCTGTTTGTGGGCAACCACACCATCTTCGGCATCTATGACATGTGCGTTGGGGGGGTTTGAGGAGGAAGTGGGGAAGAGGGTTGGGAAGGAGAGGGGGGAAATGGGATTTGGTTGGTTGCCCATCTTAAAAGATGAGCAAGTCACTCGAATCGAAGGCGACTGGGAGCACCAACCCTCCGGGCGGGCAGGCTGCTGTTTGTGGGCAACCACACCATCTTCGGTATGTATGCCATGCACGTTTTTGGGAGTGTTGAAAGGTGGGGGGAAGGTGGGGTAGGGTTTAGGGTCGTACAGGGTGGCTTCTGCATCTCTCCATCCATGTCTCTCTTGCCTGCCATGAGAATGAACAAGTGTTTTGAGACGTCTCAAAACACTTCTTCAACCTCCTGCATCTCTCCATCCATGTCTCTCTCGCCTGCCAGGAGATGCATCTATGTGCAGTCTTCCTCCTTCCACCCCTCTGCAGGCCTCTCATGATTTTGAGACGCCTCAAAACCAGTCTTATTTCACATGCCTTTCATGATCCGAGGCATCCACATGCGCGCTGCTCGCATTTTGAGGTGCTTCATAACACACCTCACTGCTCGCGGGTTTCACTCTCGTAGGGCTGGCTGCGTACGAGTGACTTTTGAGAATTCTCAAAAGTCACTCGAATTTTGAGGCACCTCATATTACATCTCACTGCTCCCGGGTTTCACTCTCTTAGGGCTGGCTGCGCGCTGCTCGCCCCCCTCTAGCAGTATCCACTGTTTTCGTCCATTCATCAGTTTGAGTGCCTCCTCCTTCCACCCCTCCCCTTCCCTGCCAGGCTGCTCATGATCCGAGACATTCACATGCGCACGGGAGTCACGTTAAGAGGGCTGGGCGCGCCCACCCACTGGCAGGGGCCCTTTGCTGACCAGTTCACCAAATACGGCGCCGTGCGGGTGAGATTGGGGGGTTTGGGGCGGGGATGGGGATGGGAATGGGGATGGGAATGGGGATGGGAATGGGGATGGGGATGGGAATGGGGATGGGAATGGGGATGGGGATGGGGATGGGGATGGGGATGGGGATGGGAATGGGGATGGGGATGGTGATGGGAATGGGGATGGGGATGGGAATGGGGATGGGAATGGGGATGGGGATGGGGATGGGGATGGGGATGGGAATGGGGATGGGGATGGGGATGGGGATGGGATTAGCATGTTGTAGTTGAAGGCGAATAGACGGCATCGGCAGAGCCCCTTTGCAGACCGGTTCACCAATGACGGTGCTGTGTGGGTGAGACGGTGGGGGTTGGGGCGGGGATGGGAGTGGTGGTTGTAAAGGCAGGTTGTATCGCCAGGGTTGAGAGAGGTGGGGAAGTGGAGTAGCGAGAAGTACAAGCTGTTCTGGCACGACACCACTGACCTACCCTCTGGGCGTACCATCAACGACTTTTGAGGGAAGAAAAGAGAAGGTGAGTGGTATAAAAGGGAAGAAAATAGAAGGTGAGTGGTATAAAAGGGAAGAAAAGGGAAGGTGAGTGGTATAAAAGGGAAGAAAAGGGAAGGCGAGTGGTATAAAAGGGAAGAAAAGGGAAGGTGAGTGGTATAAAAGGGAAGAAAAGGGAAGGTGAGTGGTATAAAAGGGAAGAAAAGAGAAGGTGAGTGGTATAAAAGGGAAGAAAAGAGAAGGTGAGTGGTATAAAAGGGAAGAAAAGAGAAGGTGAGTGGTATAAAAGGGAAGAAAAGAGAAGGTGAGTGGTATAAAAGGGAAGAAAAGAGAAGGTGAGTGGTATATAAGGGAAGAAAAGAGAAGGTGAGTGGTATAAAAGGGAAGAAAAGGGAAGGTGAGTGGTATAAAAGGGAAGAAAAGGGAAGGTGAGTGGTATAAAAGGGAAGAAAAGGGAAGATGAGTGGTATAAAAGGGAAGAAAAGGGAAGGTGAGTGGTATAAAAGGGAAGAAAAGAGAAGGTGAGTGGTATAAAAGGGAAGAACAAGCTGCACATGACTGAAAAAGGCTGTTTTGGCACGACACCACTGACCTACCCTCCTCCCTCCCTCTCATCATGCCGCAGATGTCCCCTCGCGCGTGCTACCAGCTCCTGAGGGAGTGGGAGAGCATACTGTTGTACCCGGGAGGAATGGGGGGAGGAGGGAAGTGACCTGTCAGTTGTCGCACTGACTTATGCTCCTCGCTCCCTCTCATCATGCTGCAGGTGTCCCCTCGCGTGTGGTACCAGCTCCTGAGGGAGGGGGAGAATTTGCTACTATACCCGGGTGGCGGCAGGGAGGAGACCTTTCAGTTCTCACAACCCCACCCTCCCAATCCCTGTCCTGCTCAAACCCTCCCAATCCCTGTCCTGCTCAAACCCTCCCCACTGGCTGCAGGTATCCCCCCGAGCATGCTACCAGCTGCTGAGGGAGGGGGAGAACTTGCTGCTGTACCCGGGGGGCGGCAGGGAGGTGGGGAAGCGGAAGAACGAGAAGTACAAGCTGTTCTGGCGCGATACGACTGACTTTGTGCGCATCGCGGTGCGCTGTGGCGCCACCATCGTGCCGTTTTCTACTATCGGGGTGGAAGACGCATTTGACGTGCTCATGGACCCCGAGTGAGTGCCTCGAGTGCCTTGCCATACCATGGTGTAGCTGGTTCTTGAGAATTCTCAAAAACCATGCTGTGTGCTCTGCCTTTCCATATTATGTGCGCACAGCCAGACACCACCGACTTTGTGTGCATTGCCGTGCGCTGTGGCTCCACCCATCCTGCCGTTTTCCACCATTGGAGTGGAGGACGCATTTGACGTGCTCATGCATCCTGAGTGAGTGGCTTGCATGGGCGGGGGGGAAAGCACCTGGTGCGGTGCGGTGCGGTGCGGTGCGCTGTGGTGCCACCATCGTGCCGTTCTCTTCTACTATCGGAGTGGAGGACGCATTTGACGTGCTCATGGACCCTGAGTGAATGGTTCAGTGGCCACTGAGTGTGGAGAACGCATTTGACACATATACCATTCAGGTGCCACTTGATTCCAACCAGCACGATCGAGCCACCATATTGCCACACTCCCCCATCTAGCATGCACGCATACCTTTGCTTTCGCCTCTATGCCGACCTTCTCACATTCCCCTTAAGCTCTCCTCCTTCACCGGCCCCCCTCTTCCCCCTTACTCCTCAACCCACAGGGATATAGTGACCTCTCCCATCGGCCCCTGGTTGACGCCAGCACTACAAGCCACCGGCATGCAGACAGTGCCCTTCCCCCTCGCCTCCAATGCTGGGCTTCTTACAACCCCCTTATTTTCTCCTCCCCTTCCCACCCCTCCCCACCTCCCCCCTCTCTGCTCCCCTCCACCCCTGACCTTACAGCGAGATCATGTTCTCTCCCATCGGCCCCTGGTTGAAGCCAGCACTACAGGCCACGGGCATGCAGACGGTCCCTTCCCCCTCGCCTCCTCACAGCCCCCTTATTCTTTCCTCCCCTTCCCAACCCTCCCCACGTCTCCTCTCTCTGCTCCTCCCCTGCCTGATCTCAGGGAAATTATGTCCTCTCCCATTGGCCCCTGGCTGAAGCCAGCACTGCAGGCCACGGGCATGCAGTCGCCCCCCTTCCCCCTCGCCTCCAATGCCGGCCTGCTGCCGCGCCCCCAGCGCCTCTACTTCCTCTTCTCTGACCCCATCCGCACGGACGGGCTTGACCCCACGATCATACGAGACAAGGAGGAGTGCAGCAGGATCTACCAGGTGGGTCAGTTCAGTGGGTCTCCCTCCTTGCCTGTCTGCATGCAATCCCCCCTGACTGGCTGGGTTGTCTGCTGCCGCGCCCCCATCGCCTCTGCTTCCTCTTCTCCGACCCCATCCGCACTGACGGCCTTGACCCCACCATCATACGCGACAAGGAGGCGTGCAGTCTGCCATGGAATGCTCCATCCTCCCACTCAATTCGTCTCCACTACACCTTTAAACGGCGTGCACATGGACCTTTGGGGTCCTGCTCCAGTTCGTTCTCGTTGTGGGCTTTCCTACTTCCTTGTCATCATTGATGACTCCCCCCGCTATGTTTCCGTCCATCTTCTCACTTCCAAGTCAGAAGCCCCAGCCACTATCATGAAATGGGTCTAGCAGGCTCAAACATACTTCAAGACCAAAAACAAGTGCCTACACTCCGACGGTGGTGGCGAATTCCAAAATCACACTCTCAAGTGTCATTGGGAGTCCTCATACCTTCACTCTCCAAGACAGTCCTCAGCATAATGACATTGTTGAAAACCCAAACGGCATCTTGGTACAGATCGATCGCTGCCTCCTCACTCATGCCTCCGCCCCTCCCTCCCTTTGGGGTGACGCCATGCTTCATGCTGCTGCCCTCTACAATCTCCATCCTCATCCTCACCATGCCCACACCACCCCCGTTGAGCTATGGACGGGTCAGAAGCCGTCCGCCTGCCCTCTCCGTGTATGGAGATGCACCTCATATGTCCTCCTCAACTTCCAAGCCCGTCGTGCAGCTGGCGGCAAGCTCGCTCTCAAGACAATCACCTTCGTGTACCTCGGGCACAACTCTGACTCTCCGAGCTACGTTTCTCTCCATCCTGCCACCAACAAGCTCTATCGCAGCCAATATGTCTTTTTTGATGAGTCTCACCCGTTCTACCCCTCCATCTCTTCCCCATCTCCTCCTCCTCCTTCTCTTACCTGGGCTGACTTTGATAGTCTTCCTGCCACCGCCACCCCATCTCCTCCTCTTCCCGCTCCCTCCACCATGTCGGAGTCCGAACCCTCCACCACCCACTTCTTCTTCTAGCATTTCACAGTCACCCTCGCTCCTTCCCCCCTCCTCCCCTCCTCCATCATCTCCTCTTGTTCCAACTCCTCCTGCCTGTTTTCAAAGCACGGTGCCGAGGGATTTACCCAAAAGCAAGGACCCGACTTCTTTGAGACGTTTTCACCCACAGCCAAAACCCCCACACTACACTCCCTTCTTGATGTTGCTGCTCGAGATGACATAGAGGCTAACTGAACGGAAGTGACTTCTGCCTTTCTCCAAGGGGTCCTTTGAGAAAAAATCTATATGGAGTGGCCCAAGGATTCCCAGCTCCCTTTCCGCCAGACACTGTATGGAAGCTGAATCGGCCAGTGTATGGCCTCAAGCAAGCACCCCGGGAATTGCAGAACAAGCTCAAAGGCACCTTAGAGTCCCTCGACTTTCACCCATCCACCTCTGATCCCAGCCTCTTCATCAGAGCAACCCCATCCCGCTTTTTCATCCTGGTTTATGTCGATGACAAAGATCATGCTGAGTTGGCTGCAGTCAAAACCGCACTTGGTGAGAAGCTTACCATTAAGGATCTTGGGAAGCTGACGAACTATTTAGACATGGAAATCACACGTGATCGCACGGCCCGCACATCACCTTTTCTCAAAATTTTTACATTAACAACGTCCTAGAGCAATTCAAGATGGAGAAAGCAACACCAATTCCTACCCCACTCTCTCTCCAGCACCAGCTCACTGCACCCTCCGTTCCCTCAGAGCGCTGTGACAAGCCATACCCCGAGCCTGTTGGATCCCTCATGTATGCAATGATGTGCACACCACCAGACTTGGCGTACCCAGTCAGTGTACCACCTCACTATGTTGCACCTGGTCGCTTCACCAAACAACACTGGTCTGCCGCCAAGCTGGTTCTTTGCAACCTTAAACGCACACGTGATTATTTGCTCAGTCTTGGCGACTGTTCACCTGTTTGTCTTGAGGGGTACAGTGATTCTTCATATTCTGATGATCAGAGTGATCGGCGCTCTTCTCAAGGGTATTGCTTTACCCTTGGCAGTGGAGTCGTGAGTTGGCGCTCCACTCGATCATCCTCAGTTCCACTGTCGTCTTGTGAGGCAGAGCCGTATGCCGAGACCATGGCTGCCTAGGAGGCCCGTTGGCTCTCCTTTATGGTTGCAGAACTCGGGTATCCTCAACCAGCTCCCACACTGTGGTGTGACAACGAAAGCACCAAAGGGCCCCGTCTTTCATAGCCGCACCAAGCACATGAGTTTCAGCATTACTCCCTCCGACTGCAACCTTGCTAACTTGTTCACCAAGTCACTTGGTCGCCAGGACCATCACCACCTCCTCACTTCCATCGGTGTTCGGTTGTCCTGTGGTTGATGTGTTACAGCCTACGAGGTGTGTTATAAATGTACTATCAATACTATGGTTTATATCACGAAGGCTATTCGTAGGTTGGGTGTAGATTTGTCATCCCAACCTTATCTAGTTGGGATCCCCTCATAATCCAACTAATCCACACCAAAATAGAGTAGCTACCCTCCGACGGTAGCGGAATTCCGAAATCACATTCTCAAAGCATTCTTCTCCTCTGAGGGTATTCTTCAGACCTTCACTCTCCCAGACAGTCCTCAGCAGAATGGCATTGTTGAAAGCCCAAACCGCATCTTGGTACAGATCGATCGCTGCCTCCTCACTCACGCCTCTACCCCTCCCTCTCTTCGGGGCTACGCCATGCTCCATGCTGCTGCCATCCACAATCTCCATCCTTATCGAAAATAAGGGACAAGGAAGAGGGGGAGGGGAAGCGAAAGGTGGGGCGTGGGGAGGAGCGCCATATTGCGCGTTTGAGGTTGTGCGCACGCCGGAAGTATCGAGTGACGGGCATGTTAATGTCCACCTCCACTGCCGCCATTGCCGCTGCTATGTTGATGCCCGACCCCCCCTACCCCCCCGGCCTCGCCGTTCTCTTACCCCCCCCCCCCCCCACCCCACCCCCCCCCACGCCCCCCTCCCCCCTCCTGTGCCTGCGCCTCGGCCCGCCATGCCCGCCGTTATCGATGCCTTAGCTCTTAGCCTCCTCGCCTGCCGCTGAGGGTGCTGGACTCCGCCTCCTACGCTTTAGGTGGCGCGGGTATCCAATAATAACTGTTCAAAAGTTACAGGAAGTGGACATTGGAATGGCCCGAAATGTTCTCCCCAAGGGCTACAGGTGCGTCCTGGGGGGTTATGGGTGCGCTGACCCACCAAGGAAACATGCCCCTTTATCCCAGTTGGTTAGCGGACTAATCTATGCATAGGAATGCTGGTCTGCTTCCTCACCGAAATTGTTGTGCCTTACTCTGATCCCGGTGGACGTCGCAAGCTGCTCTTTGCGCCACTGCTGGTATTGCGCGAGCTTCAGATGATTACTTGTTGAATCCGTGGGCACGCGCCTGACACTTGCTGCTCTGCGGTCTCCCATACCACCTTCTCGCTTCGCGCTCTCCGCCGCGTTCTACTCTGCGCTTGTCGCCGCGTTCTGCTCGCCTTGTCGCCGCGTTCTACTCGCCTCATCGTCGCGCGTCGGATCCGTTGTGCTCACAGCAGTTCAGCGTCGCCGCGTTCTGCCGCGCTTATGCTTGGCGCTTTCGCCAAGTCGCCGATTAGGTCCGTTTTGCCGAGCTCGTAGTCGATTTGCAAAAAGGCGATGGGCTCGTCGTTTCTCGCTCATAGCGCCTCATTCTGTTCCCCGCATAACGGCGTCCAAGTGATAGTTGTTCATTCGCGCAGAGGGGGATTCACTGCTAGAAATAGAACGTAGGAATGAATAACTAAGTACAAGTACTAAGATGCAACCCTAAAGTGTACTCTTTAGAGTTCTACTCCTTAGAGTAAACCCCATTACAGCCTAGAGATAACAAATGCAATTTGACACACCCCCATAGGCAAAGTGGGGGATAGCAAACACAACGAACGGTCACAAGACTAGTCAAGCAAGAGAACAAAGCAAAGCAAAGCTTAGGGTGGATCTCAAGATCACCACGCAGTCTGAGCACAAGCAATCGGCCACAAGGCCAGCTCACATGCAGAGTGATAAAAGCACAAGCAGTACAGTGATCACAACATAACAAGCGCAAGCATGCAGGTAAATATATAGATCACAGTACAAGACAAAGTCAAGCAACCAGCAGGTGAGGCAGAGTAGGCACAAGGCCTAACGCAGTGCAAAAACGCTGATGATCACCAGGCACAAGAGCCTTGGTGAAGACATCAGCAGTGTTGGCCCAAGAGGCCACAAAAACAAGGCGCAACTGACCATGCTGCTGCAGCTCCCGAGCAAGAAATTAACGAAGAGCAATGTGCTTCGTTCTGTGCTCCAGTCTCTGCTCGTGACACAAGGCAATCATGGCCTTGTTGTCGACGTACAGAACTGGAGGATAACAAGGCCGCTCACCCAAGTCGGTCAGCAGGTAGGTGAGCCAGCGTAACTCCTGTGCAGCCATGGCCCCAGCGTAGATCTCGGCCTCACTGCTGGAACCAAGCACAGAAGACGAACGAGTGGACCTCCACGAGACAGAATCAGAGCCGAGACTCAAAGAGTAACCCTGTGACGACCGCTGAGTCGCCTGGTCGTTGGCCCAAGAAGCGTCGGAGTGTCCTGAGAGTACCACTGAACCCCATCCTCCAAGCACGAGCCCCATGTCCGATGTACTGCACAAGTAACGCAGTACCCTCTGCGCAGCTGTCCAGTGCTCCTTCCTGTGTCGCCCGGGCGCGACGAAGCGAGCAAGGAACCTGAGAGGGTACGCGAGGTCAGGTCGTGTGCACATCATCAAGAACATGAGGCAGCCCACAAGCTCTGGATACGGGCCACTTGGCTCAACGGACTCGTCTGAAGGTGGAGCTGAGAGCGAGTGGCCTGTACGCAGAGGAGTACGCTGTGGCGAGGAGAACTGAAAGCTGAAGCGCTGAAGGACCTGGTGCACCATGTGTGACTGAGTCAAAGTGATGGTGCGCCATGCTCTGTCCCGGGTGATCTGCAAGCCAAGATAGCTACGCAGCTCACCCAGGTCAGTGCAAGTGTGTCTCTTCTGCAGCTTTTCCTTCACAAGGGTCAGCGCCTCAGTGTCGGCAGTAGTGAAGACCAAGTCGTCGACATAGACAAGGATGTAGAACGGCGGCAGAGTAGGGTCGGCGCAAAGACACAAGGACGGGTCAGCATTCGAAGGAGCGAACCCAAGAGCCGCAAGCGTCATCCTCAGTGTGTCGTGCCACTCACAGGGTGCTTGGCGGAGACCGTAGACCGGCCGCAGGAGGCTCCACTAGGTACCCTCAGGAAACGACTCAGTGAAGCCAGGTGGGCTGCGCAGCCAGGTCTCCTCATGAAGGCTGCCCTACAAGAAAGCTGTGGAGAAGTCGAGGGAGTGCAGCTCGTAGTCACGCTGTGCTGCAACGTGCAGTAACACCCGAAGAATGGTCATCTTCGGGGTGGGGGAGAAGGTCTAGAAGAAGTCGACCCCCTGTCTCTGACTGAAACCTCGAGCAACGTAACGCGCCTTGAAGGCAGGAGGAGAACACAGCGGCCGCATCACAATGAAAATCCACATGCCATCGACTATGTTCGCCCTAGGAGGGGGAACCTCGTCGACGTAGGTTCCTGTGGATTTTCCAGGAAGCCTTCTCTGCATCCATGGCTGTCTGCCACTGAGAAGAGTACTCACTCGTGATCGCCTCTGCGTAAGAGCGTGGGGTGGGGATGTCCATTGCATCCGGGTCTCCCTCAGGGCAAGGCAACATGGACGCGAAATGGGGTAAAACGGCCGCGAGACACTCAAGCTCAAATTGCCTGTCTTCAAGGACGTCAGTGCTAAGGGCAAGCTCACCCCCGACGGACGGAGGACAGACAGACTCAGACTCAGTAACAAGAAGACTCGCAACGTAGTCGAGACGACGAGTAGCAGCAAAGTCGATTAGCTCAGTGACTAGGGCACACGCAGCTGTAGACTCAAAGAAAGGGTCTGTGACGACAGTGGTGAGGAGACGAGTGAGAGTAGAACTAGCAGCACAAGCAAGGTCGGACTCAGGGTCAGGAACGTGAGAAAGAGAGGATGCCGGAGGAGATGGCAGGGCAACACGCTGACAACCAGTTTGCAAGCCTTCCAAGCAAGTTGCAGTGATGATGAACCAATGGTAACGAAGAGACCGACCTCAAACTGTCAACGTATAACTATTGAGTTTCTAATAAGCCCTTTTTTGCTAGCTGAGACGTTGACGAAACCTTGAGAAATGCAAGAATCACTTAAAAGCCCAAAATGTAAGGCAAGTATGGGGGACTCGAATGAGCATAAGCTGTACCTAGAAATCGTATGACGTGCCTCACGTGGCATGCTGATTGGGTGAAAAAATCGCCTGCAACTACCGACCGCCATCGTTAACCAATCCCTCTGATCGGTTAAAAGCCTTAATGCTGTCGCTAGCCAATCCAGCTGCACATCCAGCTAGCTCCCGCCGCTATAGTCGCAGAACCAGCATCGCGTATTTTGACTCACAAACGACATTCGTCAAAATGTGCCGAAGGACGTTCTCTGTCTTTTGACTTGTGTCACTAACTTGTCCACTTGTCGCTAAATTGCCCAAGTACAAATGTTCTCGTTTATAGTCCTATGGACTGAGACGCCGCGCGCGGACTATGTGCGAAAACCTTCAAACCCCGGGCAAAACGCGATACTTATAGTCCCGTTCAGGAAAATTGCATGAAGAGTGGTTTGTTCGCTACTAGTCTTTGGATTTTGTCTTTTATGTAGATTCGGTTCCTCGTGCTGATCAATGTCGCATGACAAACGGGCAAACAAAAACAAAATAAAGTAAGGTTTGGGGGTCGAATAGAAGGTAAAAACTTCTCGTTTACCTTGTAAGCGAGGTAAATGAGATGTCATTGTCGAGCCTTGTATGCGCGACAGGATTGAGAATTAATCACGCTCAAGAGAAACAAATACTTACAATTCCAAAGTTAAATATCGAATCAAAGATCTCTTATTTCTCGTTCTCCCTGAATGTTGGGGCTGGTTCGATCTGGAGCCTCTGATTGGCTGCGGAGATGATTCGTGCAATGATTCGGTCAAGCTGCGAAATTTCCCGCCAAAAATGGGACTATAGGGTTCGGGCCAACCCTACGCGATATCGGAAAACTCTACCCAAGGGGGAAAAGGGACTCTTTCAGCGAGGACCTCTAACCCGGAACAACTGTACTGTATGCGAATCTACCGCTCGCCGCCTAGATCTGTTGCAAAACTTGGACTCTGGGTCGCTTCTGGCTCAATTACAGAGGCCGGAGGCCGGTAGTTAGTCCCACGCGGTTTCTGTTTGATTGGCTGTCAAAGCCCCGCGTTTTCGCCACGAAATACCACTACCTCCACGAGAAATACTACCTCCTCCCCGCGTTTTCCCCTCCTCCCAACGAACGAACTACTCCCTCCCTCCCCTTCTGGCGGCGAGCCATTCCATTTCCTGTGTCGTTGCCGCTCATGTATCATTGCCGCTCCTCGCATGCCGCGTGAGAGACCCGCGGCTCGTTTCTCTGTGTGTCTCTCTCTCATGTGGGATTTTCATAAAAGCAGCGTAGCTCCTTTTGCAAACTCGCACGAGTGGTACTACTGAGAGATTAAGCCCCCTCGTGCGCCTTGATAGCTCCAACAGCCTGTGAATCCGAAGCAGACCAGCTTGATAAGCATTGTACGGTGTTTTATGGCCGTGGATTACCTGACGGCCGCGATCATGACACCCAGCAGCAGCAGCAGCAGCAGCAGCAGCAGCAGCAACATGGCGGTGGATCCGCGGGCGAATCCGGGAGCCAGCAACACCCCTACGCTGGAAGAGGCGGATCCGCGGGCGAATCCGGGAGCCAGCAGCGCCCCGGCGCTGGCGGCGCTGTTCCCGCAGTGGGCGGCAGTGGACGCGGAGCAGCTGAGGCGCGTGCCTCAGGATGTGATGCCGGAGGACGGGCAGTGCTGGCTCAAGTACGGCGAGAAACGGCTTGTTAAAACAGCCTGCCACAGGTACGCTTTAACTGCTAAACATATTTGCTTAGTGAAACGGCTTCTCTCAGGGATCACTCGCCCTCTCGTCCTCGTTGTTCCCTTCTGCTGCTGAGTTGCATTGCACTGCCTTATATGGGATGGTATTTTCCACAAGAACCCAAATTCCTGGCCTGCTGGCAGGCCCCTTAGAGGCTTCCAACAATGCACCACTTCTGTCGGTCCCCTCCCCTTGCTACAATGCACCACTCTTGTTGGTCCCCTCCCCTTGCTACAATGCACCGCTCCTGTCGGTCCCCTCCCCTTGCTACAATGCACCACTCCTGTCGGTCCCCTCGCCTTGCTACAATGCACCACTCCTGTCGGTCCCCTTCCCTTGCTACAATACTGCCGTCTCCCCCCTGTCACTCCCTCTGGTTCCCATCCCCACATCGCCCCTCTTCTTTCACCCTTCTGCACCCCCGCCCCCCCTCCCTCAAATCCCCTCCTCTCCCCTCCTCGCCCCCCTCCCTCCCTCCCTCCCTCCCTCCCTCCCTCCCTCCCTCCCTCCCTCCCTCCCTCCCTCCCTCCCTCCCTCCCTCCCTCCCTCCCTCCCTCCCTCCCTCCCTCCCTCCCTCCCTCCCTCTCCCTTCCTCCCCCCGCGCTCCGTGCTCCCTTTGGCCGCTGTGCGCGCTCCACGTGCCTCCCTCCGGCTGCTCTAATCCCCCCCGTGATCTCAGCTTTTCCTCCATCTCCACCCCCCCCTCGCTTCCCCCCCTGCGCTCCGTGCTCCCCCCTACCGCAGATCGTACTTCCGCTGTGCGCGCTCCACCGCAACACCGACGTCACCATCCACTCTTGCAGCAACACCAACAGCAGCATCCACGCAAGAGGCAACGCCAGCAATGGCAGCAACGCGTCCAGGCTCAGCTGGCCAGCCTGCTCCTTCCCCGGCTGCTTCTGCTGCTGATGATGCTGGTGCACCTGCTGCTTCCGGTGCAGCTTCTGATGCTTATACTCCTTATTCCAAGGCTGATCCTGACGCTGCTGCTGATGCTGCAAAAGCCAGCACTGCCACCGCCCCCTCTCCCACTGTATTCCACCCCTGTCCGGCTCGCAAGTGGGTCGACTGGCACCTATTATTACCCCTCACCCCTGCCGCCCACCCGTCACCGCTGCCGCCCGGTTTCGACCAGGCAGCGCAGCTCGGGGCGGCAGGCAAGCCGCCCACTTCGAGAATTTTCTTCCGAGTGACGTACCTGAACACGCACAACCACAGTGTTCCGCCCATTGGGCTTCAGATCGAGCCCTCTCTAGCACCGGATGCTGCTGCTGCTGCTGCTGCTGGGAAAGGTGGGGTTTGGGCGGAGCCTGCAGTGAAAGCAGAGATGGATCGGTGGCATGAACAGCAGCCGCAGCAGCAGCATTTGTTGCAGCAGCATTTGCAGCACTTGCTACAGAAGCAGCAGATGCAGCAGCAGCAGGGGCAGCAACAGCAGGGGCAGCAGCAGGAACATGTCTCCGGGAATGGCCCATTGCAACTCCCGACAACAGTGCACGCAGCACAGCACGCACCACCATATCCCCGCCAGCACCAGATGCAACCGCCGCCACCCCTGCCACAACAACGCCCACAGCAGCAGCAGTGGCAGCAGCAGTGGCAGCAGCAGCAAGAGGAGTGCAGAGTGGTGTTGCAGTCAAATTCCGCCCCATGCTACCTGAACCTTCAGCGCTCGCCCACTCCAACCTCCCTGGGCAAGCGGTCACGTGAAGCCGACTCCTCCTTGATATCAGAGCCGTGCTTTCCCCATGCTCCTCATGCCCGCCACGCCTCTCACGACTTCGATTTCAAAACCTTTGATGCCAGTACCTTTGATGCCAGTACCTTTGACTTTGCAGCTTTTGGCGCTTCACAAGGATTCCAAACCTTCCACCGGCTCCAGCCGTCCCCTGAATCGCAATCCACTCATGCTGGCTTTCGTGCAGAAAACGCCTCTCCTGCCCTTCACACGTCTCCCTCTCACGTGTCTGCCGCATCTCATGTATCCTCTGCCTCCCCGGGCGGCTCTCACCCGTCCCATGCATCTCCCGCCTCTGCTGCTGCGACTCACTTCTCTGCTGCCCCGACTCACTCCTTCACGCCACCCAAGCCGATCAAAGTGAGCTTCTCTCCTCTGGTTGACCGCGAGTCCCCGTGGGGAAACAGTGGCGACCAGGGGGGTTGGAAGGATGCTGGAAGGTGCACTGTGGTGCAGCCGCTGCCGCAGCAGCTGCACCAGCAGCAGGAACCGCAGCAGCAGCAGCTAACACAGCAGCAGCAATGGCAACCGAAGCGGCAGCCTCTTAATCTGCTCGCGTCGCTCACCCGTCTGGCTGTTTCTGCTGCTGCAAATACTGCTGCTGCTCCTAACAGTGCTGCTGCCAACAGTGCTGCTGCCAACAGTGCTGCTGCCAACAGTCCTGCTGCCAGCACGGCTTGCGAATCTGCCCCTTCTTTTGGAGCCGCTCCCACGGTCCCCCCATTCCCATCCGCAGCTGCACTTTCAAGCACGGCTCTAAACGCCCCTTTTCATGCTGCTCCAAACGCCCCGTTCAATGCCCCTGTAAGCACCCCTGCGGACTCACACTCTCTGCTGCTCACGGTGCTCCGCGCAAATCTCTCTCGCTCCGACCTCTTGCCAAGCCCCGGCAGCCACGGCAGCAGCCCCATCAGCAGCACCAGTTGCAGCAACAACAACGGCGGGAGCCACGCCGCGAAAGACGCTTGGAATAATAACGGTAGCAACAACAACGGGAGCAGCGAGAGGAACGACAGCTGGCGTGCCGTGGTGGGCGGCGGCAGTGACGGTTACGGGCGGCCTATGAGAAGTGGCAGCGCCACCAATGCAGCTGTGGCTGTTTTGCCTGCCCCCGTGGCCTTCAGTGGTGATGGTTTTGGGAGGCCTTTGAGCAGAAGCGGCAGCGAGGTGCATGGGATGCTTATGACTGTTACGGGTGGCAGCAGTGACGGTTACGGGAGGCCTATGAGCAGGACCGGCAGCGCGACTGATGTGGGCGGGGCTCTTGTGCCTACGCCCGTGACTGCGGTTGGTAGTAACCCGTATGATGACTCAGCGCCACGTCAGCTGCAGGGGCTGCTGGAGGATATGGTGCCACGTCAGGTGCTGCATGGCTCGCAGCGAGTCGCAGGAGCAGGACCGTATCAGGCACCGCTTGCTGCTGCAGCTGCAGGAGAAAGAGCTTCAGGAGCAGCAGGAGCAGCAGGAGCAGCAGGAGCCGCAGGAGCCGCGTTTCAAACCCCAGCCACATCAGTAGCACCAGCAGGAGCAGCAGTGCCGTTTCAGACCACGGCAGGCATTGCAGTGGAAGCAGAACGATCAGTGCAATGGCAAACGTGGGCCCCACTCCAAGCACAAGAACCCACTGTCATACCCACTGTTGCACCCGCTTGTGCACAAACCCAGGCGCTTCCTTTCCTGTCGCCTCCGCTACTCCCTAACGCTGCCCACAGCCCGTACCAAGCAGCCACAACAGCAGCGACAGCAGCAGCACCGCATTGCATGTCGCCTCATGCCCTCACTTCTGAGCTGCCGCCCTCGGCTGAGCTGCCGCCCTCGGCTGTGCTGCCGCTTGCTCTTGTGCTGCCTACCCTGGAAACTCCGTGCTGTCAGTGTGAATGCTGGCAATCCCAAGGGGCGGGGCAGCAGTACCAGCCAATGGTGCTTCAGATGAGGCCCGAAGTTCCAGCCCAAGGGCGTGTTCAGTCTGCAGGCCGAGGGCGAGTTCAAGCTCCAGTGCAAGCCAAGCCAGAGGCTGTTGTGATGGAGATGCCAGCACAGGTCGAGGTTTCTCAACTAGCGATGCAACCGCAGCTCACATCACCTTCTTTCACCACTCCTCATAGCACCACTCCGCTCACCACTCCACCAGCCGCTATGGGTAGTGTTCCAAGCAGCACTGCCCCCGCTAGCTTGCATCGTCCCGTCGCCTCTCTCCCTCTCATCCCCAACCACTTCCCGAACCTTGTCCCGAACCACGAGCAACATGCAGGCAGCGATGCTGCGCACCTGCACCTGCACCAGTTCCACCTTCCCCAGATGCCACCTGCGCAGGCAGCTCAGGCTGCTGATATCCAAGCCAGCATGAGTCACACTCACAATTTCATGGGCATGGCCTGCAATTCTGTGTGGGCCTCTGACATCGCTTTCAGCCCTGCGGTTCCAACCATTGCTGCCGCTGCTGCTGTTGCTGCTGGGCAGACTCCGGTGATGCGACGCACTCGAACTTTGAGCGTAGGGCTTGATGGCTTGAGTGGTACGGGTGGCATGGGTGGCTCGTGCGGCATGGCTGACATGGGTGGTGGGGAAGGCATGGGCGGCACGGGCGGCATGGGGGAGGATGAGTTGCTGTGGGAGGCAGCAGCATGGCTGGCAGAGCAGGGAGGGCTGGAGGCACTCGATTGGCTGCCAGAACTGTCAGGTTGATGTCAGAGAGACAGTTATGTACCGTTCAGGCGGTAACCTCAATAGAAGGGGTTGGAACGATGAGAAGGATTGGTGGTACTTCAAAAACGGGAGATTTGAAGCCCGGAGATCCAAGATGTTGAGCAAAGGTGCTGTTTATGTTGTCAGAGTCGGCAAGTGGATGGATGCGTCGCCGTCGACCTTTACAGAGGTGTACATGTGTGATACTCAATTGTGTGTGCGTGTGCGCGCTTATAAAGAGTGTTGTGTCCGTGATCTAGGTAATTTCGTTTGAACACATCATGATGTAAAAGCTGCTTGTTGGAGATAAACTGGGTTTGGCTTTTGTTTCGTGTATGTCTCCGGTGTATGAGTTGAGAAGTGGTGAACTGAGAACTAACTTGAATCGGATAATCATCAAAACGTGTACGACTGTGTCTCACAGACCAGACCGACCAGGGAAAACCAAGGAAACGGCGTTGTACTATCAGTCTACACGGAGGCAACAAGGGCGGGCGGCTATGGAAGCGGATCGCGTGCCGACATGCGCGGCTTCTAACTCGCGGCTGTTTCCCTGTCTGAATTCATCGCGACAAAAACTATGTTTCCCTCCATATCGCTGGAATTCCATCACTGCAGTCTATTTGTCCGCCGCATTTGGTTCGGCCGTTACCGTCACTGGTCAGCTCTCCACTTTGTCAAGAAGGAATGTTGCATTGAGTAGGGTTGTGAGTACAAGTAGGAAACCCTAAGGGGTTGTACTCACTAGAGTATGCCCCACTACAGCCTAGAGCATACAAACATAGTTTGACACACTTCTCCCGCCGCATTCTGCGCTTGGGCCTGCCGGCATTGCTAGAAGCAGACGGCGTCCGTCTGGCCGCGATGTTTTCCGTCAAGGTGACAGACGTGGACGTACGCCGACGAGCTTCTCAGCAATCCAACCGTTAATTTTCGTCATCTCTCCGTTAAATCTGCCATGGAATGCTCCATCCTCCCACTCAATTCGTCTCCACTACACCTTTAAACGGCGTGCACATGGACCTTTGGGGTCCTGCTCCAGTTCGTTCTCGTGGTGGGCTTTCCTACTTCCTTGTCATCATTGATGACTCCCCCCGCTATGTTTCCGTCCATCTTCTCACTTCCAAGTCAGAAGCCCCAGCCACTATCATGAAATGGGTCTAGCAGGCTCAAACATACTTCAAGACCAAAAACAAGTGCCTACACTCCGACGGTGGTGGCTAATTCCAAAATCACACTCTCAAGTGTCATTGGGAGTCCTCATACCTTCACTCTCCAAGACAGTCCTCAGCATAATGACATTGTTGAAAACCCAAACGGCATCTTGGTACAGATCGATCGCTGCCTCCTCACTCATGCCTCCGCCCCTCCCTCCCTTTGGGGTGACGCCATGCTTCATGCTGCTGCCCTCTACAATCTCCATCCTCATCCTCACCATGCCCACACCACCCCCGTTGAGCTATGGACGGGTCAGAAGCCGTCCGCCTGCCCTCTCCGTGTATGGAGATGCACCTCATATGTCCTCCTCAACTTCCAAGCCCGTCGTGCAGCTGGCGGCAAGCTCGCTCTCAAGACAATCACCTTCGTGTACCTCGGGCACAACTCTGACTCTCCGAGCTACGTTTCTCTCCATCCTGCCACCAACAAGCTCTATCGCAGCCAATATGTCTTTTTTTATGAGTCTCACCCGTTCTACCCCTCCATCTCTTCCCCATCTCCTCCTCCTCCTTCTCTTACCTGGGCTGACTTTGATAGTCTTCCTGCCACCGCCACCCCATCTCCTCCTCTTTCCGCTCCCTCCACCATGTCGGAGTCCGAACCCTCCACCACCCACTTCTTCTTCTAGCATTTCACAGTCACCCTCGCTCCTTCCCCCCTCCTCCCCTCCTCCATCATCTCCTCTTGTTCCAACTCCTCCTGCCTGTTTTCAAAGCACGGTGCCGAGGGATTTACCCAAAAGCAAGGACCCGACTTCTTTGAGACGTTTTCACCCACAGCCAAAACCCCCACACTACACTCCCTTCTTGATGTTGCTGCTCGAGATGACATAGAGGCTAACTGCACGGAAGTGACTTCTGCCTTTCTCCAAGGGGTCCTTTGAGAAAAAATCTATATGGAGTGGCCCAAGGATTCCCAGCTCCCTTTCCGCCAGACACTGTATGGAAGCTGAATCGGCCAGTGTATGGCCTCAAGCAAGCACCCCGGGAATTGCAGAACAAGCTCAAAGGCACCTTAGAGTCCCTCGACTTTCACCCATCCACCTCTGATCCCAGCCTCTTCATCAGAGCAACCCCATCCCGCTTTTTCATCCTGGTTTAAGTCGATGACAAAGATCATGCTGAGTTGGCTGCAGTCAAAACCGCACTTGGTGAGAAGCTTACCATTAAGGATCTTGGGAAGCTGACGAACTACTTAGACATGGAAATCACACGTGATCGCACGGCCCGCACATCACCTTTTCTCAAAAATTTTACATTAACAACGTCCTAGAGCAATTCAAGATGGAGAAAGCAACACCAATTCCTACCCCACTCTCTCTCCAGCACCAGCTCACTGCACCCTCCGTTCCCTCAGAGCGCTGTGACAAGCCATACCCCGAGCCTGTTGGATCCCTCATGTATGCAATGATGTGCACACCACCAGACTTGGCGTACCCAGTCAGTGTACCACCTCACTATGTTGCACCTGGTCGCTTCACCAAACAACACTGGTCTGCCGCCAAGCTGGTTCTTTGCAACCTTAAACGCACACGTGATTATTTGCTCAGTCTTGGCGACTGTTCACCTGTTTGTCTTGAGGGGTACAGTGATTCTTCATATTCTGATGATCAGAGTGATCGGCGCTCTTCTCAAGGGTATTGCTTTACCCTTGGCAGTGGAGTCGTGAGTTGGCGCTCCACTCGATCATCCTCAGTTCCACTGTCGTCTTGTGAGGCAGAGCTGTATGCCGAGACCATGGCTGCCTAGGAGGCCCGTTGGCTCTCCTTTATGGTTGCAGAACTCGGGTATCCTCAACCAGCTCCCACACTGTGGTGTGACAACGAAAGCACCAAAGGGCCCCGTCTTCCATAGCCGCACCAAGCACATGAGTTTCAGCATTACTCCCTCCGACTGCAACCTAGCTAACTTGTTCACCAAGTCACTTGGTCGCCAGGACCATCACCACCTCCTCACTTCCATCGGTGTTCGGTTGTCCTGTGGTTGATGTGTTACAGCCTACGAGGTGTGTTATAAATGTACTATCAATACTATGGTTTATATCACGAAGGCTATTTGTAGGTTGGGTGTAGATTTGTCATCCCAACCTTATCTAGTTGGGATCCCCTCATAATCCAACTAATCCACACTTCAAGACCAAAATAGAGTAGCTACCCTCCGACGGTAGCGGAATTCCAAAATCACATTCTCAAAGCATTCTTCTCCTCTGAGGGTATTCTTCAGACCTTCACTCTCCCAGACAGTCCTCAGCAGAATGGCATTGTTGAAAGCCCAAACCGCATCTTGGTACAGATCGATCGCTGCCTCCTCACTCACGCCTCTACCCCTCCCTCTCTTCGGGGCTACGCCATGCTCCATGCTGCTGCCATCCACAATCTCCATCCTTATCGAAAATAAGGGACAAGGAAGAGGGGGAGGGGAAGCGAAAGGTGGGGCGTGGGGAGGAGCGCCATATGTCAGAATCAAGAAGTGTGTGAACTATGAAAAGTTGGAGTACAAGTAGCAAACCCTAGTTTTGTGTACCCCCTAAAGGCTAACCCACTATAGCCTACACAACAACAACACATATAGTGTTTGACACACCCCCATAGGCAAAGTGGGGGAGAGCAAGGGGTCACAAGACCAGTCAGGAAAGGCAAGCAAGCTCAGGGTGGATCACGACGTCACCACACATTCCGAGCACAAGCAAAGGGCCACATGGCCAGTTCACATGCAGAAGTATATATGTAGTACAAAAAACAAGGGTGATCTCAGCCTAGCAGAACAAACAGGCAGGAGTATATATAGAGATCCCAGTACAGGCAAAGCCTACAACAAGTGAGGAAAAGTGGGCACCAGCCCCAGCAAAGTACAGAAGCGCTGATGATCACCAGGCTGAAGTGCCTTGGTGAATATATCAGCGGTGTTGGCTTGAGAGGCCACGTAACGCAGACGAAGCTGACCACGCTGCTGCAGCTCTCGAGCAAGAAAGTAACGGAGAGCGATGTGCTTCATCCTGTGCTCCAGTCTGTGCTCCTCACACAAGGCAATGGCAGCCTTGTTGTCGACGTACAGCACTGGAGAAGAACTAGGCCTCTCTCCAAGGTCGGTCAGCAGGTAGGTGAGCCAGCGTAACTCCTGTGCAGCCATGGCTGTGGCGTAGATCTCAGCCTCACAACTGGAGCTGAGAACTGAAGACGAACGCGTAGAGCGCCACGAAACTGAACCATAACCAAGGCTGAAGGTGTAACCCTGTGACGACCGCTGAGTAGCCTGGTCGTCAACCCAAGAAGCGTCTGAGTGCCCATGCACTGAAGGTGAGAACAACTGAGCTCCCTCCTCCAAGCACGAGCCCCATGCCCGATGTACTGCACAAGTAGCGCAACACCCTCTTTGCAGCATCCCAGTGCACCTTTCGGTGCCTGCCAGGAGCTACGTAGCGGGCCAGAAGGCCAAGAGGGTATGCTAGGTCAGGACGAGTGCAAGTCATCAGGTACATGAGGCAACCAACTAGCTCTGGGTAAGGACCACTCGACTCTACGGACTCATCCGAAGGCAGAGCTGAGAGCGAGTGACCTACAGCCAGAGGAGTGGCATGTGCTGAGGACCAGGTGAAGCCGAAGCGCTGAAGGACCTGCTGCACCATGTGTGACTGAGTCAGGGTAATGGTGCGGCGTGCTCTGTCCCGGGTGATCTGCAAGCCAAGGTAGCTGCGCAGTTCACCCAGGTCTGTGCACGTGTGTCTCTTCTACAGCTCCGACTTCACGTGGGCGAGAGCCTCAGTGTCAGCAGTGGCAAAGACCA